AGTGCTAGACCTTGCTTCAATCATCAGCGGAGCAACCACGCACACATACACACACACACAGAGACTCTCACAAAAGCCGCAGTGGGATGACCCATGAAGATGATGATGGTGAGAAACAAAACGATGAACGAGATATTTTGGTCCAAAGGTATGACGCACACCAGGAAAGGTACACCTGCGAAACAAGGCGAGAATAATTCACGAGGCTGTGGGTCCTGCCCTCGCTGTGCTAGACGCTAGGAATGGCACAATGCGAGGTACACGAATGAAGAAGTCTCCACTCCTCGCCCAGCAGCTTGAACGACGGCCACAGGTGCACTCGCAATTTGAATGAGAATCCAATCCTTCATGAGCTAGCTAAAGACCCGCGCACACACACACACACACCTACACACGCACATGCTTGAAGGTGTAAAGATGCCCTGGCAGAAATTGTTGCTTGCACAGGCCGTATCGGTGGGGTGTCTATAAAATAGTGCTACTTACTATAAGTACAGTCGAATATGTCCCAAGACCCTATTCCTTTTTTTAAGGCCCCCATATAGATCCCGCATAGTACCCTTGAAGGAAACCTATTACAGTTATGAAGGCCCCCATATTACTTCTGTTGCTTCGCGTAGGAGCCGGCCCGTGAGTGGACACTCAGCGGCGCTGTGGACAAGATCCCGGGACTCTTCGAAGCTGAGGTCACTTGACTGACTCTGGATTTCTTTTAGGGTTTGGGGAAAGGGTATAGGGGTTCAGGGTATGGGGTTAGGGTTTAGTCTGAATAGTAGCCCTTCTTACAGCAGAATAGTAGGAAACTGACTCTGGGGTTTTGGCGGGAGGGGGTTTAGGGTTTAAGAGTTTTAGTGGTCTCGGGTTCAGGGTTTAGTGAGGCTTAAAATTGCCTGACGCAGGAGGGAAACCGAGCTTTTTATGATATCCCATGATGGCCCCTACAAAGGTTCTTACCCCCATAAAGGCTCTAACAGAATTCAAAAGTTTAAAGGGTTAACCTTTTCTGGGCTATGGTATGCAACCCCTTTAGATCAGGTCGCAGCCATCCAGGGCCATGAAGCAACTTCGGCTTCGCTGGCTCAGGCTTCGACAGGGGTTTGTTTTACTTGTCTTAGGGTGTTGGGTTTAGGGTCTCAGAGGCTTGAGCGACATATTCTTCGTGTTTCACCGGGTTCTGATACATCACATGAGTCTCATGGGTTCGAGTCAGGATTATAGCTTGATTTAAGCCACAGCTTTGAGAGCTGGGTGCAACGTATAGCCCACGGGCATGAGCGCTTCTTGAGGCTTTAGGCGTCTAGGGGCTTAGGGTTTAGGGGTTTAGGGGTTTAGGCTTTAGGCTTTAGGTTTTAGGGGCTTAGGGTTTAAGGAGGGCTAAGGGTCCTTCCCGATACTCCACAAAGCCTTCGCCACTAGTCCCAATGCCTCAACATCGAGAGCCCCGAACCTCGGAGCACCGAAACCAAAAGACCTACTATAGGGGCCTCGGTTCCTTTGAAGGGCTCCTGAAAGCGGTCTATAAGGGATCTATAGTAGGGTTCTATACTAGGGGCCTTTATAAGTACCAGTGTGGAGGTTCCATATTGTAAGTATAGTTCAACAAGCCCCAAAACCCGATTCTAATTTTCAGGCACTGAACATTGGGTTGATGACGTTTCCCTGGGGTTCCTTGAAAGGGATCTGTAAGGGTACTTTTGAGGGGCTCCTGCCCCAAGATCCTACTCTGGTGTATTCTAATTATTATGGCCTCGATATAAGACCTCAACTTCCCAACTCGTGAACTCGTACAGCTCCAAGGCTTGAAAACGAAGATCCAAATCCCAGATTTTCAAACTTCTGAGCTCTGATGAGTTGGTCTTGTTCTGAAAGTTTCAGCTTGTATTTCGGTCCCCCGGTATTGGGCAGGCAAGAAAAGCTGGAGACGAGCTTTGCTAAACGTCTGCGTAAAGGATCAGGGGAATTACTGAGTATGGCTGTAAGTAAATGGATGACAATAGTTATACTTGTTTATAAACCCCCATTAAGGTACTTATGCCTTTACATACTATGTCCTTGATCCTTCAAGCAAACCAGATCGGCAGGTGCAAACCGCAGCCCAGAGCGTGATCCTGAAAGACGTGCTGACAGGGAGGTGGCATGTGTAGTCCTGGTGATTCCTTGACTGAGTGTAGGTGGCATGCACACCTCCAAGCACCGCAGATAGCCCAGTACCCCTCTATGAATGAAGGAGCACTGAGTCGCAACCTAAGTGCAATTCCTTTCGGAATACGCCTTAGTTGATGGGTGTTGGGCCCGGAGCCCTAGACCCTCAACTGCTCTGTGAGACCCATGAAAGTCCCACGACTTGAGTTGGAACCCTTCATCTTGTTTACTTGGGGTCTTTTTTCCTGTTTTGGTGAGACTACCATACGGGTAGTTGTCCTTTTGGGGTACCCTAAATAATAGATGCCGTATTATGATCAGGACCCAAAAAGGGACGCTAATTTTGACAACCACCCATACAAGCTTTAGGAGTGTTCCGGGTTTGTGCTTCGTGCAGCAGGCTCCAGAAGAAACTACTGCGCAGTATCAGATGGCAGTATTGCTTGCTAGTCCCTATGCACACAGTTTAAACACAGCCTGTCGTTGCTATTCCTAGTATGGAGTTCACAGAACAGGGGTGTCGTGAAATGCGTGGTTGCGAGTTTCGAGATGTGGATGATGTGCTCAACCCTAAACTCCCTAAACCCCTAAACCCCAAACCTTCAAAGGGGATCCTATCATAGGACCCTATAGTAAAGGACCCTATTCTGGAACCCTATGGTAGCCTTTAAAGGACACCCCCCCGCCCCCCCCGGGGCCGTGCTTTCAAGGCGCCTCCTTGTCGCGAACACCCACCTTTACTGGCACGCCAATGCCAACCACATCCGTTTGATTCAGCTGTGCCACAGCTCAAGGAAGTGAAGCGAGCATAAGTTACGCTCATGTTCGGGGTTTTGGGTTTAGCACGTAGCACAGAAGAAGTGTACATAGGGTTTGAAAGGTTCTAGGGTTTCGGGGCTTAGGGGTTTGGCTCAGCTGCACCAGTGCCCAAGAAAACAAGCAACAAGAGGGCCTGGCTGCTAGTTCTTCTTCATGAAGGGGTTAGCACAAGATGGTTAACCTTCAGCGTCAACGGTCTCAGCACACGGCACAAGTGCTCGCCGGTTGTGCAAGTAAGAGGGTAACATTGAAGGGCACCCTTGACACTAGCAGCATTACGGCTTCGGCACAGATCCTCGCATCGCGGCTTGTTTATGTTCCTGCAGAGGTTTTGGCTTTGCTCGTCTTATAGGCAGGTTGCAAGCACGCGGATACCTGAGAGTTTCCGAAAATAGGGGCCCTACTACAATACCCTAGATAGTAGGTTCCTCACTATAACCACCCCGAAAAAAGCTACCTTTAATTTTCGGAAATGCCCAGCTGTCCCACCTGAGTTACGACTACCTGAACGTTCTAGCCAGGGGTGAAGCCCTTTTAAGCTCCGGGCACCTCCCGAAACTCAAACCCAAACCTTTCAAAATCCCCTTCTTTAAGGAATATACCTTGAATCACATATCAGGGATCCCATGACAAGTTAAGGTAATATAACGTCATACCTGATTGGGGATCCGATTACAAGTTAAGGGATGTTCCATAGTTGCGGGATTGTGGAAGGTCTGGGAACATGGAGCTGAAGCGCTGAGCGCACTGACCAAAGAACCTGCTGCCCAAAGGCTTTCTCAACGCATGACTCAAATCTGGAGCGGAAAGATCGCAAGACCTTCCGAGATTCTACATGTCACTTGAAACTTCTCCCGAAACCCAACGGCCAAAACCAGAACCTCCAAATGCCTTTCACTACGCTGTGAACACCCACTGTTACGGTCCACATGCCGTCAAACAAAAGAAACAATCGTTCCCCGTAGTAACCGTTATAAATACAGACCCCAAAACCCTATCATGCGAAGCCTGACCCAAACCCTCCAATCCAGGCATGCTCTCCTCCGCGTGCTTGCCAAAGAAGCGGCCCGCGTTTCGAACGGCGCGCCTGTGGCCGTGCTGCTGTTTGGGGTGCCCGGGCGGAAAAATCATACAATAAGTGACTAGTTATCCCATAAATTATCTTGGCTCTCTTTTGGCATATCTTGCGGAGTTTGTGTGTTTAAATAAGTATGGGCAATCATAGTTGCCCGCGTTGTCACTCTACTTGCAGTACCCATGATCCTTGAAGGACACGGTTTCGCTCTCACACTGGCCATCTGAGCTTTCTTAAGCCGTAAATGCCGGGCTCTAGAGGCCATGCTCTCTAAGGTCCCACATGCCCACCACCCCCACCGACAGAAATCCCGTCGGCCATTAGCAGCCCTGTTCCGTGTCCTTCAATGTCTTCCTACTAAGGCTGAACAGTAGCAAAAAGGGCAACCTGAGTTTGAAGGCATCACAAGGGATCCTAGTACATAAGCTTTTGATTAGGCCTACAGTTCTCTAGTCTGCAAGAAATCGCCCACGACAGGAACGGACACAAGCCATGTTCTGTGCATTCTTGACTCCTTCACCCATGACGACATTTATTGTCGTAGGCCTGTCTCCCTGTTGCAGAAAACTAGACACCCCGATGCACGACAAGCCCCGCAAGTCTTTCCCACCTTCGGCTGACAGTTCACTTTGGGCTGCATCTCTCCACAAGCAATGACAAACTCTGCATTCTGTAGGGTATGAAGGTCGGAAGAACAAACAAGTTTGCGCCTTTCAATCCATGAACTATCATGGTAAGATGCACCCAAGAAGCCCTTGTTGAAGCGATTGAGGCCCCGACAGTGTGTGCCAATCCTGAGCCCTGCATTTCAAACTCTGAAGGCTCCCCTCGAAGCCCGAATCCGTATCCGAAGCTCTAACTTCCTAAGCTTTGGTAGCTGAGTAGCTAACCTTTAACCTTTTGGGGTTTATGCAATCCTACCATAATTGAATAGGTTAACGTTTTTTGAACCAGGGTGCTCAACCCCTAAGGAACAAAAACCACGAAACTGTGAAACCCTAACCCTGCAGCGCGGCTCAGGATTTAAATGCGCGGAAGGGCTGCTTCGGCCCCTCCGACCGGGGCTGCTGCAGCTTTGCCTCAAAGCTTCTCGGGGCCTTATTTTGGAGTTGAGAGATGATTTTAAGGCAGGCGGTAGAAATTCAGAGGTCTGGGAGTTTAGGGTGCTGTTTTCCTTGCCTGTCCTGTGGCAGAACTTTCAACCTTTTCGGTTTCGCTCGTCTGTCTCTCTCTCTCTCTCTCTCTCGCTGACTCTCTCGTTCTCTCTCTCTGTCTCGCTGCGTGTGTCAGAGAGAGGGGGAGAGAGAGAGACTGTGTGAAATCGAAAGTCGTGCGGCCTAGCCTTTTAAAGAGTGCAGAGCCCACGTAGAGGGCTTCCCATCCCTTGATTTACGGATAATCAGGAACCCTTATGCTTACCCTTATAGTACCCATGCTAACCCTTATAGTACCCCTGAAGGGGCATGGGGCTCCCTGGTTAAGGGGGTACGAGTAGGGGCGTTTTTAAATCCGAAGCTGAGGTCTGGCTTTCGGGTTGACGAAGATGGCTTAATGTAGGAACCTGATTAAGATACCTTGGGCCTAAGGGTTCCTTTAAAGGGGTTTATAAGAGTTACTATAAGGGATCCATAAGGGTACTATAATTATGTAGGAACCTGATTAAGAAACTTTGGGCCTTCATTAGGGTTCCTTTAAAGGGGTCTATAAGGTTGTGGGACATGACGGCCAGACTGAACCGTCTGCTGGAGACGATCCTCATGGAGGCCAGTTTGGCCGAGCTTCAATCTCCCAAGCCTGACACAAACGCCATCTCGCGCATCCTCCACATGGACTGGGTCACGGCAATGCAGGCCGGGCTCGAATGGGGCGTGCGGAAGCATGTAGTGAGATTGCTGCACGTCCCAGACCGGCAAAGCGCATGTGGCCAAGAAAGCTTCAGACCCCAAGAAGAAGGCACAAGGAGCGAGGTGACGAGTGCTTTTTTACACTACGATGCAACACGCACAGACCCTGTGCGAAAAAAGAAGGAGGAGAAGAAGGCCGAGGAACAAGCTAGGTGAGCCCACGCACACTATGTAGTGGCTCTTTGATGTATATTTTGCACGAATAGGGAAGAAGGGCAGAAGCTCAGGAAGGAAAAGGGGGAGGCGGGCTTAGCCACGGCACGCGAGCAAGAGCGCCAGCGTACGGAGGAGACAAGGCACGAGTTGCCACAGGTCCAGAAACCGCCATGATGTAGTTTCTGCAATTGGAACGATGCATGCAGGCGACCAAGGCATGGAAGAAGAGGCAGAACGAAAAGACATGGTCAATGACAAAGGCCTCGCTCGACGTGCTGCGGCAGAAGGAGAAGGAAGGCGAGCAGACGCATTCCTTCCGAAGCCGAGCCACCATGTGTGCAATGGGATGCTGGCTCCTGGACAAAAAGGAGTGCCGACGAAGAAAACGCGGCCAGCAGTCGCGGCCACAAGGAAGGACGACCCTGCTTATACAGCGCGAGAGGCGATAGAGAAGAGCATATAAAACACTCAGATTTTGCATCTAGTGCGACCCTTCTCCACATGATTAAGAACCCCTACATTACGTCAGGCGCCCTTTAATTTAAGGAACCCTTGCATGGTCTAAGAGGAACCCTTAAATTAGTAAGGCCCCTCCCTAAAGCTTAAACCCCTAAACCGTGCCCCTACTATACGTCAGGCCCCCAAGCTGCCTACCGGCTGATCCGGGACGGCGAAATCCGCCGGGAGGACATCCGGGGCCCAGAGACATCGACTTCTCGTCTTAGGGAGTTTAGGAGTTACGGCTCAGGTAGGATCCTTCAAGCAGAGTTATAAGTAAGGCAACTGTACATATAACGGATTCTACCTACTTTTACAGTTTACATATCGAAGGGAGGTCCCTTGAACCGTGGGCCTAGGCGTAAACCATAAATCGGCGGCTTAGTTACTTATGACAGCACTTGCAAAGATTGTTGATCTGTTAAGTACAGTTGGGGTTTCAGGAGTTCAAGGTTCAGAACCCGAAAACAAAAATACTCGACCATCAAACCTGCAAACCCCCCCAAACCCCCGAAACCCCAACCCCCTAATGCAGATCCGCAAGTAACGCAAGGAGCTTAGGATCCGGTCCAAAGCACCCAATTGTCGGGTACATGGGTTTGGGATCGTAGTCAGGTACGTTTATGAATCCTTGTTTGCAGGTTCATGTGTACATATATGCGTGGGGTAGTACGTCCCCTAATCTAGCTCATTAAGCTATAAGTTTAGCTATCGGGAGAGGGGTTTTAAAGATTACCTATACCTGTCAGAGCTACAGTAGAATATACCCTTAAACCTTGTTCTACTTAATAAGGCCCCTGTGGTACATGGGTTTGGGGCTGTAGTACGGTAAGCTTTTCAATTTTTGGGGATTCGAAAAGCTTCAAGATCCCGTACGTTCGAGGTGTAGGGGTTTCGGATGACTTCGGGGTCAGGGGTTTAGGCTTTAGAGGCTTAGTAGTTGAAGAAGTAATTAAGTACCCATATCTTCGTGTTTTTGGACGCGGGGTTCTACGATAACCACAAAAAACCTCTAGGTTTACTTCTGCTTCCCCTAGTACATTGGACAAGAGAGTGCGCCGAGAATATGCCAGTTTACGGTGGGATCCTTAATGCGGTAACGCTACTCAAAGCAGAATGATTTCTCGAAACTAGGATAATCCTGAACAAAGCCTGAAAAACTGTTTTAAGATCTTCTTCAGACACACACACACACACGCACACACAATTACACACTCGCACACAGACACAAGCAATCCTATAGCCCATAGCAAAAGAACTTTGCCGAACTGTAGCCTCAAGGACCCGGACTGGCGCTTCTCCATCTGGCAACCTTCCGCCGAAGGCGCCGAAGCCGAGGCAGGGTACTACAGGGGCCTAAATAGTAGGTGTAGGGTTTAGAGTTCAGGTCCTATGTGGAGGTTCCTGGGTAGTTTTGAGGACAATATCTTTAGTTCTGCGTATTTACGACCCCAGTGTCCTGACCCTTTCAGCAACCGTTGAGGCGTAATTATGCCCAATCCGTAAGCGCTGAAGCTAAACATTGAGAAGGCAGCCGTAAACCCCAACCCCCACCCATCGGTTCAGAGCGAGATCCCTTCGGCAACAGAATTTCGACATTTCCGCACCGCAGAATCCATAGCCTCAAAGCAGTTAGGTGGCAGCGACGGCAAACGGCCGCTGCATTTGCTGCCAGGCTGGTGATGCAAGGGTTTGAGGTTTAGATCTCAGGGTTTGGGGGTTCGTGAGAAAGGGTTTTCAGTTGGCATTTCGGCTTAAGGGCTTAGGTTCAGAGGTTGACTGACGGTTTGGGGTCAGCCTGTCCACCTCCGTTTATTTCCGAAGCTCCTGAGTCACCAGTGCTCCTTACCCAGAGAACCCAGTACCCGTTAATTAAGGAATATACCTTAAATCATATTGTCAAGTCCTCGATAATTTAAGGCATCTTCCTCAATAGAGGGGTATTAGGATCTCTGGTTTCCCCGAATTACTATATTTCATGGGTTCAGAGGCCAGAAGGGGGGGCTCGTGCATTGGAACTCAATCACAATGAATCTGGCATTCCGGGAGAGCAGTTTCCAGCGAATCTAGTACTAGCACAACAATAGGCAACAAAATATGCACTGCCGCAGCCGTGAGCCGCGTGTCGAGGAACGTTTTTCCACGGGTGCCGCCTACTACAAACACTAAGGACGTTTTAACCCTCAACGATAGAACCCCACCGTGTGTGCCATGCTGCTAGGAGCAAAACCCTTCTAGAGCATTTTACAAACAGCTTGTATATCCGTGTATCCCCGGCTTTTTGTTTATAGAGCCCTTCTATGGAAGCCCGCTACAGAGCCTTTCTATGGAACCCACGGAAACCCAGCTGCTGAGCAGGACTTCGGTGTTTTCCCGGGCCTGGGAACCTGTCCACTCTGCGACGGCGAGGGCTTCGGTTCAGACTCTTCGGCAGCTTTTGAGAATTCCCAGAGAGCCCAATACTCTTTAGTTAAGGATTATGGCTTAAATCATATGGGGCCTCATATTATGATTTAAGCTATGTTCCTTCATTAAGGGGTATTGGATTCTCTGGGTTCAGGGCCACATCTCTGGAGCAAAGAGTTTGACCGGGAAGGCCCGGCACCACCGGCCTAGTTATACCTAACCCTGCCACGGTTAGACCTGACCCCCCCGGAATTCTGTCCTGGTTATTGTAACCAGTCGCGTTATTCTACTTCCCACAGGTGGCAATCGTAGCAATCAGAATCACAACAGTAGCCCCAAAACCTAAAACCCTGAACCCCAACGCGAATATCCCTGAACCCGAAACCCAATGTCCGCCCAAGAGCAACGACAAGACTGCCACTGAAGACACAAGTCATCAACAAGTGTCAAAGCCAAGGAACCTCGCGGTACCGTGACAGTGTCACCTTGAAGTCCCGAAACGGTTGATCCCAGAACAGCAGTTGCCAGAAGCCTTAGAGCACAGCGGGATGATTCATATGGTTAGGGTAGATTCGTGAATGATTCCCCCCTTTGAGAAAACATACAGTTAGCTAGCTATTCAAGACCCTAAACCCGAACGCTAAACCAGTAAGCCCTAAGTATTGAAAACCCTCAATTAGGGAGTCTCTAGCAAGCCCAGATGTTTTAGGATTTCCTTTAAGCTTTGGGCTCCTGTAATAGGGTTCCCTTTAAATTCGGTAGTCCTAAATTTGGAACCCTAAACCCTTAACCTTAAACCCTAAACCCTTAACCCTAAACCCTTAGCCTTATACCCTAAACCCTTAACCTCAAACCCCATACCCTTAAACCCTAAACCCTTAGTCCTAACACTAAACTCCCTAAGCCTTGGGTTCTCTAGTAGGGTTCCCTATACATTGGACCTCTCATTATAGAGCCCTTTTAGGACCCCTTTGTAGATCCCGTAAAGGGACCCTATCATAGGGTTCCCAATAAGTTTGGGAGCCTTAAATTTGGAACCCCTAAACCTTAAACCCTAAACCGTTAGGTGTAGAGATCCCTAAAGGGACCCTATAATAGGCTTCCCATTAAGTTTGGGAGCCTCTCCCTATAGAGCTGAACCATAAGTGATCCTACTTATAACCCCATGTCTTACTACCCATGGACCTCCAAGTGGGGCCTCCCAAATTCAAACGGAACAACCATATCATAGAACCGCAATTTGCGAGTCTCTCTGGGAAGCCCAGGAGCCCAATACCCCTCAATTTAGCAATATGGCTTAAATTATATAGGGCTTCGTATTATGGTTTACGCTATATTCCTGAATTAAATTTCTATTGGGCTCTCTGGGAATGTCCCAGGGCCTATCAAGTGTCATAGTTGAGACTCCTAGATCGAGACACCCTACTTAAACCAATTATAGAACCGCAATTTGGGGCTCTCTGTGGAAGCCCAGGAGCCCCTATTACTACCCATGAACTTCTCATTATAGATCCCCTTTTGGGAGACCCTATAGATCCCCCAAAAGGGACCTTGTAATTTAGGTTGCCTTTTAAATTCGGGAGGCTTAAATTTGGAACCCTAAACCCTTAGCCCTATAGATCCCCTCAAGGGACCCTATAATAGGCCTCCCATTAAGTTTGGGAGCCTTATAGAGCCCTTTTAGGAGACCCTATAGATCCCCTAAAGGGACCTTGTAAGAAGCCCAGGAGCCCCGCCTTTCTTTGGACCTGCAGCGGCCCCTGGACCTGGAGGATGCCAACGAGCACCTCCAGGCGGCCGAAACGCACGGAAGTCCTTAGAGGGCTGATCTACCATAACTCTAAAGAAGGTACTCTATGATACTAAAGGGTTTCTATATGGCTTAAGTCCCTAAACCCTAGGGGCCTTGATGATTAGAATAGGGTTTTGGGGCCCGTTATACTATCAGTATAACAAGGAACCCCCCAAAATAGTATTGGCTTTTGGGGTTTAGGGACTTAAGCCATATAGACACCCTTATAGTATCATAGAGTACCTTCTTTAAAGTTGTGGTAACCCTTATGGTAACCCATAGAAATAGAAGTCCTTCTAGGGTTTTGGGTTTTGGGATTACGGTTTGAGGTTTGGGGTGTTGGGTTCAGGGTTTTGGGTTTGGAGTTTTGAGTTTAGGGTTTAGGGTTTAGGGTGTTGGTGTTTAAGGTTTAGGGTTTTCCGTTTAGAGTTTTGGGTTTGGGGTTTAGGGACGTAAGCCCTGTAGTACCCCTTGTACTTGTAATCCGTATAGGAACCCTTTCGATAAAACTGATTATCCGACAAAAGGCAAGCCTTCATGTTTGTGGCTCCCTGTGTTCAGTGCTTGCATGAGGCTAGGGCAGGCGGGCTGGAGCGTTTGTGGTTTGACATTGGGGCTCAATGCCGGGCAACCCTTCCGAACCTAATGTTTGACTGCGAATAGCTCAAAACCACCAAGTCTTGGCAGCAAAATGTAAAACTTTGTGGCACTACGACTACGATTCAAACACCTTTTCCTATTTTCTCTACGAACAGGAACGGTGAAAGGCCAAGAGAACTGATGTGCCCAAGCCATGGCTCTTTCCGAGATCTCACTTCGTAAGTAATGTTTTGGAGTTTCCGTAAATTTTAAGGGTACCTTACTCTGGGGTCCTCATAATAAGGTTCCTACTATGTACGGTACTATTCCAGGGTTTCCTATAAGAATATCGTAACTGCAGTTATAAGTAAGTATAACTATAGTTGTCCTCAGTTGCTACGTCCCATGGGCCTCGAAGTATCCGTAAAAGCCTACACCTTAGACCCTTTTTGTTCCAGCGTCTTTCTTCTTTCAAGACTGAAGAGTAGGAAGATTCGAAGTGGCGTACTGTGTTGCGGTCACTGGGGCGGAAGGGGCGGGGTCCTAACCTGAACCCTGCCTAAAACCCTGCACCCCAAAAGGTGTCTCATTCTTAAGGGGTCACTGGGGCACCTCGTGCCGAGGTAACGAACTTCACCAGAGATTTTCAAGAGTGCCTGGCACCTTGGAAACAAATTTATGTCGGGCTTATATAGGGTTTACAAAGGGCTTCTATGCTTCTATAGGGTTTATATGGCTCTAAGGGGGTTTGATGCAGAGGTGGTCAATCCATACCCTCGTGAGGATCTACAAACTACACTCCTTAAGTGGCTTCTATCGTAACCCTTTACTACATGGCCCCATTTGGGGGGTCGAGCCATTTCAGATTATGGGGTGTTGATGGGTTAGGGTACACTGATAACACGAATCTCAACTACTGGCCCTAAATCCTAACAACCCTAAACTCTGAATCCTGAGTTGCCATAGGAGCCTGAATAATTAGCAATACTACTGTGGAGGCTCCTTGTCATAGTTATAATACAATGGGCCCCAAAGCCCTATTCTAATTGCTAAGGCCCCCATATTAAACTTTGATCCCTGAGTTACGATGTTTCGGGGGTTCTGGAGTCTCCTTAAAGTCCAGCCCAGGACTACATCCTCATCGACCGACAGTGCCTCCGGGTGGCCAGGCGTTTCCCTGCTCCATCCTTGGAGGCTTTGGAGGGCATGTCCAGGGAGATCCTTATTGAGTACGTATAGATGTATGTATGTATATATATATATATATATGTACATATATATATATATATATATATGTATATATATACACATATGTGTATGTGTATATATATATATATATACATATGTATATATATATATACACACAGATAGGGGCCGTACTAATTCGAAAAGTGCTGCTTTGGGGTGTAATAAAGAAATGAAAGGGGGTCATTTCTCATGGAGGGGCTCTTGAGCAGTTCCCACAAAGTAGACTGGGTTTTGGGGATTTGGATTTAGAGTTGAAGGTGGCTTTCTGAGACGCAGTTGTAGGTAGAGTTTAGGGCAAAGGATCTGAAACCCTAAACCCGTAAACCCTAAACCCTAACCCCAGCAACTGGTACCTTAAGCTGCCCAAGCAAGAGTGTAAACCCCGAGCTTTATCCGTTGCAGTAGCTGTTCCAGTGGGCAGTTCCGAGGTTTTTTGAGGAGGTCCAAGCCGGAAATGTATCCAAAATGGGGCTTTTGGGGTTCAGGCTAAGTACTTTAGTGGGTCACACGCAAAGCCTGAGGCCCACAAAACTCTACAGCATACTTTTCATTGAACGAGTTTGTGTTCCCTGCGAAACTCTGTACAGCTTTCTTGAGCAGGCTCTGCGGCGGCACACCGCACTGCCCTCACCTGAGCACCTCTTCATGCAACTAGCGCAACTCTGGCAATAAGTATCCGGAGCATTTGGCAGCCGGTGCTTCCGGATGCTTAGCACGTCAATGACCCTGAACCCTGAAGCCTAAACCCTTAAGCCCCTAAATCCTAGACTCCTAAACCCTAATCCCCCCAAAACCCTGCACCCCTATTCCCTAAACCCTTCCCTCCCGCAGAAGGGCCGGTTCGAGTCGGTGTCTACGCCCTTGAGCCAAAGATCCCCATTCCTGCTCTTTCAAAACCCCATGCCCTCAGCCCCCTTCCTAGTAGTGGAGTAGGTAACCTTTAACCTTTTTTGGGTAGTATAGTCCCTATATACTCCCTATATAACCGAAAAGGTTAACCTTTAGTTCCCCCTGATACCCGACAAGAAGGTAAACCACTAGAATCCTGAAGCGCTGGACACAAAATCCTACTGGTAAGTCTCACAGATAAAATCCATTGAAAGCAAGACGAACAAAAAAGCAAAAAAGCTGGACCCTACACCCCGAGCCGAAAACTCCTGAAGCGAACCCCCGAGCTGGGTATTTCTCTGTAGCCACCCTCAAAGGAACTTCATTCCGACTGTCGGGGCCCCCATAGTGCTATGTGGGAGTTTCCGAGAATTCAGGGCACCTCATTTTGGGGTCCTGATAATCAGGATCCTACTGCTTAGGGTACTATATTAGCGTCCCCTATTTTCGGAAACTCCCTTATACTGAGGTTTCCGTCAGATCACGTCCCTGTCTTCACCGAGATTGAGTTCAAGTGAAGAGCTTCTCATGGGTATTTTCCACAACCCTTGAAAATCCCCCTGGAGCGCAGTGGTGTTTGCAGGGCTTTGCATGGGTTTGATGGGGTTTTCGTGGGTTCCAAAAGTGTGTGATGGGTGTGTTGCTTCGGTATGCAAGGGTGTGTGATGTGTACCGGCGTTGATCACTGTCGGTTTCTGTGCTAGTCTTGCTTTTTATGGGTCCTTACGAGAGCATATTTGTTACATCGAATGCCCCTGAGCCTGAGACTAGAGTTATGAGACCAGAATCAAAGGATAAAGGGACGCTGAAAGCAGGGTTGCAGGCAAGTCAACTTTAGCCATACCTATGCAATCCCCAGATTAAGGTACTTATAGCCCCTCTTACTACAGCATGTCATGTGACCCGATGAGTAGAAGGCTTCTTATGTGGAGAAGCATTCCTTGAGTCTTAAGCTCGTGCCACCCTGGCGAAACCTTAAACAACAAACAGCCTTTCAAGGAGCATTTACCTTGCAACTACACTCATACAACAACCTAAACCTTAAGCCCTGAACTCTAGACCCTAACCCATAAGCCCCAAGCCTTACGCCCAGCCTTATGGCAAGCTGCATCTCAGTGATGAAAGCAGCACTGACCGTCGGCGAAGCGAGGAAAAGTACTGGAAGCTCTGTTCTGCAGCTTAATATCGACTATGGGAGCTTCACGAAACTTAGTACCTTATTCTGGGATCCTTCTAGCAAGGATCCTACTATTTTAGGGTACTCTATCGGCGTCTAAACCCTAAACCCTAAAGCCTAAACCCTAAACCCTACTTTCGGAAACTCCCATATTGTTCCTTGAAGCGGTCGATGAGCGCTACAAGGGCTCTATATCAGGGTTTTCTAGGTCGGGCTTTGGGGCATTTTATATTTTCCCTTATTGGGCTTAAGAGGGTCACATTTACCAAGGTTACTAAGGCAGAACGTAGAGGCCTCAATCAGTTCAACAGGGGGTTTATGCGGGTTCTTTGAGGGGCTCTACGCGGGTTGAACAGGTACTTGGAGGGTCGGGGGACTTAGTAACTGGTTATTTTGGGGACTTATAAGTACCATAACCCCAATTAGGGTCCCTCTAAGGTACTTCTAAGTCTTTCTAATAACTACTTACTAAGTCCTTCGACCCTCCAAGTAGAGGCCTTGGCTTGAAGTCCTCTGAGTCTCAAACTATGGGGCTTTCGGGGATTCTTTTAGAGGTTTGGAGGGGTCTTACTTGGAGGGTCGGGGGACTTAGTAACTGGTTATTTTAGGGACTTATAAGTACCATAACCCCAATTAGGGTCCCTTTTACGGTACTTATAAGTCTACTTACTAACTACTTACTAAGTCCCCCGACCCCCCAAGTAGTAGAACGCTTAGGAGGATGTTTCAGCTCCTTTAAAGGCTAGGACCTAGAGTAGGCCCTTATTCCCTTTTTTAGGGTTCAGGTTCCCTTATAAGCACCTTCAAACCAAAAAGGGCACCCTTTTTATTCCTAGGTTACTCTTGGGTCTAGAAGGGATCTATATCTGGTTCCTTATAAGGGTACCTGTAGGGCGGATTGGGGTTTGAGGTTTCGGGGTTTGTATTGAAGCTCCTTGGGTTTGTAGAGCTTTTAGCTTCGAAGTTCGCCTGCGTTCTTAAGGATTTCTTGCATGAGGTATTCAAGGATTTCTCATGGAGATTTTCAGCTTCAGGATTTAAGTGTTGCAAGGGTTGCAGTGGGTTTGATCTGGCGTTGACAAAGTTTCTTCTGGACTCTTGTCGTTTAGGATTTGCTAGGGTCCTGAAGTTTCAAGGTGTCGGGGCTTGGGCTTGGGGCCCTGGGGTTCACGTACTCTGAATCTGTGTAAGCCTGGCCTTTAGGGTTTTGGGTTTAGGGTTTAGGGGTTTAGGGGTTTGGGGTTAACGGGTTTAGAGTTCAGGGTCTAGGGTTTGGCATGGGTGGCATGGGCATGTCAGAAGATGTGGGACTTGTTGATAGTTGTTCGGGTCCCTGACCTTGACATTAAGGGTTTAGGGTCTGGAGTTTAGGGGTTCCTGAAAAAGGCTAATTCAAAGGGATCTATAAGGGGTTGAGGGTTTACGGGAGGAAGCATCCCGCGTTTCTGCGAAACTCTACACCCCGAACCCTCTACTAGCCCTCTACCTGGCCGAGAGGACTACACGGAGCCGCAGCTGCGTGACTGGCTTCGAGGCAGTTTCTCCTTAAACCCTCAAACCCCAATCCCCTTCAACCCTAAACCCAAATCCTAAACCATCCTAAATCCCTTAACCCTAAACCCAACGCCTCTTAAAGACGCCACTGCACTTTAAAACAAAAAACAACGCCTCAAACCCTTAAACACTGCAGCCTTCAACCCGTACACCCTTAACAACCCTAAACTCTTAAAGATGAAAGCCTCCCGAAGCCCTAAACCATAAACCCCGGCCCTTAGGCCGTGATTTCGATTGTTGTAAGCCAAAATCCCCCTTCGAATTTTGCCCTAGTGGTAGAGTAGGTAACCTTTAACCTTTTTGGGGCAGAAAAGTCCCTATATAATCCCTGTATACCCGAAAGGTGAACCTTTAGTTCGCCATGATGCCCGACAAGTGGGCCTAAACCCCCAACAGCCTAAACCCCTACCACTCAACCCTAAACCCTAAGACCCTAAACCCCAAACCCTAGACCTACAGAAGGTAGCTTGCTTTCCAAGCCCTGAGCCCAAAAGCCCGGCCTCAAGCCCTCCCCAAGCCTTGAACTTGAAACCTTACTTTAGGTTTTATAGGGCTTGTAGAGCTTATGGGGTTTATAGGGTTTGGTGTTTAGGGCTTATAGGGTTTATAGGGTTTACGGGTACACCCGAAGGCTCCCAGCCCTCCCACACCCTGAACCCTGTAAGCCTACAAGCCCCAAATCCTAGCTGAAGTGGGATTCCTGAGCCTTTTCAACCTTGAAACCGAAACCTACATCAAGCACGAAACCCTGCCCAAGCCCAGAACCCCAAATTGTTAGACAGAAACCCCTTATAGACCCTGTATGATTATCCTATATGCTACCCCCAAGCCTTACATTGTTGTGAGGCCCCATGTTCCGCCCTGCACCTTTACACTATAGAACCCTACAATAGATCCCTTATGGAACCCTTCAAACAACCCTGAAGGGAACCCTATAATTTATAAGGCCCTTACATTATCGTACCCTTATAGATCTCTTTCAAGCTGGCCGCAAGATGTGCGTCTGCAAGTGCACATCAATACAGACCTGGGGCCGGGGCAGTCCGTCGAGGGCTGGTGGAAGCAAGTGGACGCTTCCAGCGGCATCGTTTTCTGATTCAATCCGGCAGGATTACCACGCAATACCACGCAGGTTAACCCGTTGGTGTTTCTGTCCGTGACTTGTCAAGTTACGATGAGTTGTGTCGTCCCAATGTCTGTTGAATTGCCACTGTCGCTGTGGCCGCTAGCCGACCCAGGTAAGTCCACGCGGTGATTCTCGCGGGTCGTGGACGGATTGGACAGAAGTGTCTCCGCATCTTCCTCTTGCAGTTTTCTGGATCAGCCTCCAAATAGCTGCTAGATACCTTCAACACCAACCAAACGTGGCTGCTGGTGAGGGCGGTGGCGGCGGTGGGGGTGCGGTAGTAAGCCCCTCTCAACCCGTTCAAGGAACTCTAACTAAAAAGGAACCCTAGTCTTATCATTAATGCCCCTACATTGTAGAACCCTGTTATACATCCCTTATAGAACCCTTTAAGCAACCCTAAAGGAACCCTACAACTATTAAGGCCCCTAGATTATCAGGCTTCGGGCAGCCGGAGGAGATCCACTTCTTCAAGGCACCCGCAACGGTTTCGGAGGGTCCGGCTGAGTCTAGTTACTTATGTAGGGCCAGGGGCTTTAATAATTATGGGGTTCCATCAAGGGTTCTTTATGGGGTTCTAGAAGGGGCCTGTAAAAGGGTTCTATAATGTAGGAGCCTTAGTAATTACCTATACTATTTGGGGGGGGGGGGGGGGGGGGTTCCTTATCATATCATAGTATAGTATACCACAAAACCTATCCTAATAATTTAGGCCCCTACGATTGGTGATATAAATCCTGCATTACCTCAAGCACCCTAAACCATGAGGAATAAGCCATAATTCCCATAGTCTAGGGTCCTTAGGGTAATGCAGGATTTATATCATCAACAGTAGAAGTCCCTATACACTTGGAGGTTCATGGCTAGTTATAAGTGGGGTTATAAGTAGGAGAACTATAGTACTAGCCTACATTGGGCGAGGGCTTAATTCTTAAACCTCCAGGGTTGGCGCGTTCAAGGTGATTTCTGTTTTCAGGCTAGTAAATTCAACGACCCTATGAAGCCTTAGAAACCCTGGCCGCGTTTTCGATTGTTCGCTGTTTTCGAAGTTGAGAGCTTTTCGAGGAGAGCACCTTAACTTTTGGAACAGGTTTTAAGCTGTTTTGAGATATGGGAGTTTCCGAGAATAGGGGACCCTAATACAGTAGCCTAAATAGTAGGATGCTTATTACACAGGCTCCCAAAATAAGGGAACCCTAATTTTCGGAACCTGCTGCATGGATCTGCATGGTAAAGGATCTCTGGAGTTTCTGAAAGCTGTTGGGTTTCTGACAACAGGGTCCCTTGCAGGGTGGCCCCTGAAACGAGTACAACGCTCTTACACTAAGATCTCGGAAAGGGATCCTAGCTTAGACAATACCTGAGTAGCATCGACGACAGTGAAGGCGATGATGGAGACGATGATGAGGATTAAGATGATGATGACCGTGATGATGATGATGATGCGGCTGATGCTGCTGCTGATGGTTCAGATGGTGATGGTGGTGGTGGTGGCGATGGTGATGCTGATGCTGAGATTAACACTAACATTGATGGTGGTGTTGTTTGGCGTCTCTGGGATATGTAAGCCACTTAGCGTGCTGAAGCCTGACCCGTAGCCCCCAAACCGCTTTAAGGGTTTAGGGTTTGAGGCGTCTAGGGTTTAGGATGTAGGGCGTCGG